CCCCCCCCTGCAAACCAATGGACCTTCTCATCCAGCCTGTCTGCAGAAGCTTTCTGCACATCATCATTTAACCCGCTAAACCCAAAGAGCCGTACCAATCCAGCTCAGTGAGCGCAAGAGATCACCTGCATGCTCCAGACATCAGGCAAGATCATACAAGATCACAGACGAGTAAGACTGTGAGATTATCAGAACTAACAGTAATGCCACAAAATCAGGAGAAACCCCCGATGGTCCGGATCTCTCCCTACATTCACCCCCGTAGCCTAACCCCCCCCTTTACTGAACGTTCCTGTTTAACTCCAGAAGCTTCATAATTTCCCCCAGGTAATAAAGTGTTCAAGTGTTTGTGAACCTGCCCGAACCTGTGAGCCAGCTCTTCAAGAGGAATGCTTAACAAAACTCATTAAGTGGCGAATCCAGAGTCCCTACTGCACATGGTGCTTAATGGTTTTTATTAAAAAAGAAACATTTCTTTCGAAGATCAGAGCCCTGGTGCCGGGGTGACCTGCAGCACAGACAGGGACACTGACCACGGTCAGCCTGAAGGCTGGAGGTCATGTGACGGCGGCAGTTACTCTTCAGCTCTCGGCCTCATTACTCCGGTTACCGTTACCGGGAAACGCAGAAAGAGCCCACCCCCTCCCTGCCAGGCCGGGGGCTATGAGCCGTGTGACCAGCAGAAGGTGCCCATAGCCCCGCCCCCTAGTCCACCCCCCCGCCCTTGGCATCATTATCAGCTTACACCCTTGGCTCTGCCAGTGATCCGTGGCCCATTTTAAAGCAAGAGATGGTGCCACATTTACACACCGTCAGGAGCTTAGACACCCCATGCTGTGTCCGGGGGGGGCGGGAGGGGGGGGGGGCTTAAATAGCGGAATATTTTTCAGATTAAATCACCCATTTTCAGTCTGTCAGCACTTATACTGAGATTGATATCCTGCCGCTACCCCAAACCCTGACGTGGGTCACAGGTATCAGACCCCCATTTCCCAGCCTCCTCCACCTTCCTTGCCTTCCGCTGTAGCCGTGGCAACAGACTCCTAGGCAACGGGCACGCCTCACTGCTTCTGAAGGCCAGCCTGGGTTCAGGTGCCTCGGGCAGAGAAAGGCCGTCTTTCTTTTAGCGGAACGAGAACCCGGACGGCGCCAAACAAAAGGCCAAGCTGAGGACGGCCGGCGCTGCTGATGGATCTGGTGCTGGATCGCAGGACAGCTTCCTGTCAGGATGATGGGCTCAGCGGCGCCCCCACAGAAAGGACACCAGCCTGGACATGCATCAAATAAAACGGCCCTTAGGCTGCGTTAAAACTTGTTTCCACTTACTGACACTACAAGGCCATTTCCAGACTTTATAGGCCTTTAGCGCCTGGTCTGGCAGATCTGAAGCCAGCAGGTTAACGTTTGACCAGCAGGAGGCGGAGCTTCCACCCTCAGCACCACAGTCCGACGGGATGCAAAGCACCTTCCCGCCAACAACAAAGCCCCAAACGCTCAGGCTGGGGATAAAAACACAACCCCCCCCTTCCCCAAAGGGAAAAAGGAAAGGCTGTGCAGAGGTGAAAGCCAGCACAAAAGGAGGAGAGAACAAAGTGGGGGGGGGGGGGGGGGGGGGGGGGGGGGGGGGGAGACACATGCTCCCCTGTAATGCAAACGATTGTCCTGCAAAGATCATGCTGTTGCCCCCCAGGACAGGATAAAACACAGAAATAG